AAATATTACACTTAAAAAAATGATCTATCTGCTCTCTGAAGTGTATTCAAAAATCCACGATTATGCTCCACTTATCAGTTGCTTCACACGAGCTGCGGTGACTTGTTCTGATATGCTTCAAATCCAAAATTGCTGTCAAAACCTGTGGAGCTATGGAGTTGCTGCTTAATCCTGCACACTGCTGTTTCAAAACAGCTGTTAGTTGATCACACCTTGCTGTTTAGTATTTTCCAAAACAAATCACAAAACAATGTTAAACCAATGCACATTTGCTTAACACAGTCTGCTCAACAGTTTGCTTCCATACTGCTTCAAACCTGTGATGAACCTGCTGTAAAGTTGTGATGATCCTGCTGTGAAGTTGCAGACTGTTGCTGTTCTGTGAAGCTGTTACTGCTGTGAACCTGCTGTTACTGTGAAACTGTTGCTGTGGAGCTGTTTTCTCAAAACAGTAGCACAGCTGCTGTTCCAAACACAAACGATGTTGCTGCTGTCACAATGTTGTTGAAGTTGCTGTTTCAGTTCCTCTTCTTGCAATAGAGTTTAACAGGTTCCAAGCTATGAACAGCTGCCGCTGTCAAGATCTGTAAACAGCTTCAATGTTGCTGTTACTGTCAAAACTCCAGCAAATATCAACAGTTCCTGCTTTGTTGTGCTGTTAGTCTTCTTCTGTCAAAAACAGACATTTGCTGCTTTCTTCTTCTCTACACCAACACAACACAGCTGCTGTTTATCATTGTTCAAACTGTTTAAAATCAAAACAAAACATCATACAGCTGCTGTTAAAAATCATGGTGTCAGCATCTTGTCATTAAGTTTAAAACCTGTCACATATACTCAAAACAGCTTCTCCTTCAAAGCATCTAAAACCAAAGGAAAAAACGCATCAAATCTGTCTGCTGAATATTCAATTAGTTAACAAACAAACAGCATAAATCTTAAACCTGATTTAAACCTGTCTAAATCTGTCACTGCTTGAATTGCCTCTACTCTGCTTTTTCGTTCAAATTAATGGTTGTTGAACTTGTATCAGCAAACTGGCTCCTCTGGTTTTACTTCTGTTGGCCTTGAAGTGAAAACACTACTGCTGTGAACCTGTACTCTGTGCTGTTTTGTTGTTAAGATGAAGCTGCTCACTGTTGTTTTCTTTCTTCTTGCTGTCAAGATCTGCACACTTTATTGCTGTTGTGTATGCTGTTGCTGTTAAGTCAAAATGTAACAAATGTGTGAGAAAGATGAAGTCTGTGTTGCTGTTACAGTCAATTAAAATCACAGCACAAAATCAATTAAGTCAACAGCAGCAATTCTGTAAGACAATGAAGAATTTACTATATTTGCTGTTGTACAATACAACACTGTCCTACACAATCCTGCACATCACTTCTTGTTTCAAATTTTAAACACAACCACACAGAACTGCTTGCTGTTTTCTTTCGAAACACAAACACAGCACAAAATGCAAAACAGATCCTGTTGTTGCTGTCAAAACAGAAAATGAAGCTGTCAAAATGAAAGTTGCTGTCTTAAAACAATCTAAAATGACAGCAAGCACACTTTAGCATTCTGCATAGTCTAAAGTGAATTAACACACAAACAGCCTGTACCTGCTGTTGAACCTGTTAAACCTGTTAAAATAGCACAAACAGCAAACTTAACACACAAAGTCCCAAAGTGAAATAATTGTTGTTAAAACTTGTTGTTAAAACTGAGTCTTAATCATACAACTAACATGCACAGAACACATAACAACCTGCAAATCCTTCTCAATTTAACCAAGATAACCTACAATCAACCAATTACTCAAGAAAAGTACCTAACCTTGCTGTCAACTGTTGCATTTATGGCTAATTCTATTCCAGTCTTCAAGTTCACAAACACAGATATTTAGAAAAATGTACCTGTGTTGCTGGAATGTGTCTAAGATAGTGATCAATTAGGAAGAAATGGAATCTGGTTGCTTGTTCTAAATTTCTTGTTCTAAACAACCTGCACAACTTCTGTTTCAACCCAAAACAGATTAATCAATCAAACCAAAAAACAATCGAATCTTGTCAAGATGTTCAAGGTATTGAGTGATTTATAAGAATGAATCAAGAAACAAAGAGCAATTTAGATTCTGGGTAAAAAAAAAAATCAAGTGGATTAGAAGTCCGCTCAAAAACTTCGATGCACAAGTCCGTCCTAAACCGCTCAATATTAAAACTAAATCGCACACAGATTGAAAATCACTCAAGATTGAAAACCTAAATACTTACCTGATGTGAATCCGATGATATGGTATCCGGTGTATCTTAAACCGCTCAATGAATCCGATCAAGAAGGAAACGGTTTACCTTAACCTGCTAACGAGTCAGAACCTTAATCCGATCAAGTRTTGACCGGTGTAGATGAATACCGGTTGAAATCCGGTCAAGTAGCGTGCGGTGAATATGAACACCGCTCAAATGGTATGCGGTGAAGATTAATACCGGGCAAGGGTTCTACGGTGTAGATGGTTTACCTGTCAAACTTTGTGCGGTGATTCTCTTCTCCGATTAAGCTTTGATGAACAAACACTGTTTAATACTCTCACACGGTTTATATGAAATAATGGATGGATGGGCTTTAGATTGGGCTTTAAAGACTTGGGTTAGGCGGTTTAACAAAAATAAAAACAAACACAAACTAAAAATTCAGATTAAAACTCATAAAAACACAAAAACAAAAAAAAAAAATTAACAAAAATTGAATCAAAAACACTGATTTACGAAAAAAAATTTAAAACACAAAAACCGATTAAATCTTGATTAAAATTGATCAAAACATAAAAGTTT